ATCAAATCTGGACAACAAAATTACTGATAATGTGATCAAGGAAAGGAATGGTTACTGTTAAAGTAATCCTCCATGAAATTATGTTTTGCATTTGCATGTTGGGCTTGTCATTGACTAACTCGTGGTATGTTAACATTAATATTAGGTTCATTTGCAATGTTACGGCTGTACTTGTAGATATGACGTGAATAATAATCTGTGTTCACTCTTAGTGAAGTCAGTTCTTTACAGCATTGTTCTATTAGGAAAACATTAGAAACAATGTCTTGGCTTGGACCTTGCAAATTTACAGAAGCTTCTTTCAAATAGTAATGGAAACATTGTAAAGCTGTTAAAAATATATATTCAATGAATTTCAGTATTTTCAAATAAGCTAAAGCATTTTTGTCATTTAAACATTTCAAAATTATCATCTACATGCACAATAACCTCAAACATGTAAAGTAAGAATGGATGACACAAACAGAACCTTTCCCAACCTTCAATATTCTCAACTAAATGTTTAATGTTCATGAAGCAATGAAGCTGCACGATGCTGGATGCCCGTTTGATAGATTGCCTGTAACAGTTCTCCACGTTTATGTAAGCATTTAATCCAAATAGTTATTCATTTAAATTTTTGATACAATTTCATATTGGTGAAACTGAACATGAATTTATAAGTGGCTGACCCGTGCATTGAGTGTTCAAGGCCTTGCTTTGCATATCTCAAACTTGTTTTTGAACAATAGACTTTTTTGCAAGTCTTGGTGGATGTTCAATCATATCTTTGAACATGCAATTAATTTAGAGATAATTCAACATCAGTTCATACAATATCTGCTTCTCTGACCCTCTGTTTAACAAAGCCAAAAATGTCTCCCCTATATTCACAGTGGTCATCTACAAAGCATAACATTTTGGTAAATGTTCCACATTGTGAGAAGACACTTTATTAGCAATAACAGAGTAGAATCCGGCCTTTTTTACTTCATCAGTAATTTTTACTCAAATAACATCATATCCTATGGCATTGATGATGTCATTTTGTGAGTGAGGAGATAAATATGTAGCATTGTTTGCCTTCGAATGATACAAATGAGCTCTCACTATTTCATCATTTTCAGCAAAACCAGAAAATGCCAGAATTTTTAGAAGAATTTACATCTTTGGCATTGCCACAAAATGCCAAGCCTTGTTTTTCTAAAAACAATTTAATGCAGAATATGTTTATTCTGAGTTATACATGATTGAAGGGCACTGTTGGTAATAACAGTACTTCTACTGGTTGATGGATGTTCAGTGGAAGCCTTCAAAGCATCAGCTGCCTGCATAGAGTCACGATGATAAACAAACTTATAATGGTTGTTTAAAGTATCACTAATTTTTACCTATTTGTTAAATGATTTGTTGACAATTATTACTTTATTGTGTCGACTATGCACTGAAAGAAGGGTAGCACATGGACCACAAAAAATGCCATCCAGATTTGTGCTGTATGATAACCATGGGTATTTTATTAAGCCAAGCTATTTTAAACTTGCAGTTACACCAATGAGAAAGGTGGTAAGAATAACATTTGGTGTTTCCACATGCTTCTAAAGATAGGAATACTTTCAACATTTCATAGATTACTAACAGCTTGTCATTTTTCATCAAGTGATTTTGTTGGAGTTAATAAATAGCCAGTGTAAGTACATGGCTCTGTGACTGAAGAAACACCATGACAAATCTCCAATGAATCCATGATTGCTGTAGTGCAGTGATGATGGTCCAGGAAGAATGGAGTTGTCAGTGCTTGAAGCATTTTGAGGCTCAAGTAAACCAGTCTGCATATCATCAGTGTTATCACCACAAAAATATAGCTCAGTAGTATCAACTTCACAAGCTCCACATTCATCACCAGCACCAGAGAAAGATTGAGATGGTGACTGGATTGTGTCATTGGTAGTTTCTGAAAACACAAATGAGTAGCAATTTTAAAAGAGGCAACCAATATATGGCTCTAACATAACATTATAGTTTATATGATACATAAAATCTATAGTAAAGATTGTTGTTGTACTCATCTACATATATAGATGAATTATAATTTAATTATAATTAAACATGAACTTTGTAATTTAAAACACCAGATGCTGGCATAAAACATTTGTATGTTGCTGCAATCAATGTCACATAGGCACTTCATTCTGTTCAGTAAGAATAGTGGAGGTCTAGCTTATATATTGTATACTGTGTAATCTTGTGAGCCAGACTCTTACTTGTATAGTGAATAAGTTTCATATGGGTTTAAGATTTGTAAAATTCTCAGCTCCATCATTGTATGAAAATAAAATTACAAAAATGCTTAAATCTTAAACCCACAATCACTTTATCTTATGCTCAAAACCATGTGTACCTGTTAGATATACATGGCTGTTTAAGTTTAATATGAGCATTATGCTTTGGATAGTTTATGAGTTATGTTGTGTGGGTGTCATACTTAGTTATTTGTAGGAGCAAGAGCTTAGGGTAAGTTTATTTACGTAAGTGTTTATGAATCATACTTTGTATAATGTGTACATTTAATTGTAATGAGTTAGGGATTGTTGTGTCATGTTACTAGAACTTTCTAAATTTTTGCTGTTGTTTTAATTGAGTATTATTACATCAGAATATTCTCGAGTTCTGTCATGATAATGAGTTTAATGATAAAGAGTGTATAATGACAATTTTGAAAGTGAAATTATCACAGACTGAATTGTAATAACAGAACAGAGAAGAATAATTTGTCTTCTCAATTGTCTTCTAAAGTAATTGAACCAGCCTGTGTGGACGTTGATGAAAAAGAGACAAGTATTTAACTCTTTCTGCACATGGACTGACCTCTTAACCATTTTGTGCTTGTTATAGTTTTCATGCTATAACCTTTAAATTAGTAAGCATATGTTAATGAAATTTGGCACATTATCAGTAAACATTACAGTGCTTTCATAAGCAAAATATCAAATTTTTTATTAAGTCCTAATGTTTGTAATCAGTAGTTTTTCTCGTACCTTTTTTTTTCTTTTCACATGTTTTCAGATTTCACAATCTTTATAATGTCCAGATAGTTATCAAACATTTCTTAAGAAAAAACTTTACATTTATCTAATATTTTTAGTAACGAATTTCTGTATGTGTTTGGTCGATTCAACCAATCTCTTAACCACATTAAAAAAATTAGGAAATAAATATAAATTATGGCTTTTTCATTCTAGAATGACTACAAATTATAACATGAAAATATATAATGTTTGGACTGTATAGCTTAAATCTCATAACATTATACATTTATATATATCTATTATTTGTATTATATTGACCTTTCAGCCGTGCCTGGCTAACAATACAGAAGTTACAATGATGCGGCGCATGTGCTCTCATGTTACCTTATCCAATAATCTAAAATAGACCTTTATTATACATTATATATGCATTTAGATTATTGCTATTTTGAAATAAGGTCTTAAACTTATTTTTCTTAAAACATAGAACAGTAAATAAAGAAGTAAAGCAAACATTTATCTCTTTTTAGTTCTGACCTTTGTTGCTAAGCCTTTTAAAATTTTGCACATAGAGGATATGAAATAAAATATTTTTTTAGGTTATATATATATACAGTTGAATAACCAAAAAATCATAAATTACTATATCAATACTATACAATTCCACTATAATTTATCAAGGTTAGTAACTAAGCTGTATTTCAGTCAAAAAAATATGAAATTTTGAGTAGACTAAAGACACAACCTACCTTTTTGAAAACTTAGTTCAAAAGAAAGAAATGGTGTCCAGCCATGTTAAAATGGCAGAGAAGGCCACTAGGGGACATTCTGAGCTGTCGATCAGTTATTCATGTGATATATAGAAGTAAGTGTATATAAGGGAGCATTTCCAAAAATGGAAAGAGGTGGGTGGGATACCACTGTGTTTGATTTATTACATGAGAAATATCTTAGCAAACTGAAAAGAGGCTCTTATTATATATTCTAGCTTTTCAATATTGGTAATTTAAGTTCCTAATTCCTACAAAACTGTAGACTTTGTATTTTGACATCACAAATGTCTGATTTGAACCAGTGCTGCATTCAACATACCATGTGACACAGAAAAATCAATGTTTAACTGTATTTTTTCTTATATTTATGTTTAAATTAAGTAATTTAATAAGGTATAATACTAAAATTTGAATTATAATCTACAGTTTGATACCAAACTTATTGACATAAATTAATGAAATAGTAGTTCAGTAAAATTTTGAATGCGAAGCAACAAATGCAATGACATGGTCTTTCACCTGTGATCTGTGTGGAAAGGGTTAAAGCTCTAAATACAACTGTGATAACCAATAATGTAATGAACATTTGTATATACATTTGACTTGTTGTAATATATTATTTTAAAACAAAAGAACTGTGTTGCTTTTTGTTTATTGTTGAAATTTATTGCCAACAAGTCAGACACCTACTATAAAGAATCTGGTCTACAAAACCTGACAGTAACAATATGACTTCTGGCTTCAATTTACAAAGTGTCAACAGAAGCCATTGCAGGTGACTATTTCAAGCCCAAAAATTTTAATGCTTCATCAGAAGAATATAGACGATGTAGAAAATGTTAAATACTATAAGCAGCTTCTCTATAACTATATGAGCGTATATTTTTTACATCACAAATATAGGAGGTTCAGCAGAACCCTCTTAAACCCCTGCATACATACATAATATATATATATATATATATATATATGTGTGTGTGTGTATAGATACACACACATTTAGTAGTCGAAGAAGTGTTTTGAGATACACAAAGAAATAACTGTGTGCAGTGTAACTAACATAAGATAGGTGTGTCTGATTTCTCATGTCTTCTTTTCCTCCCTGCATTTTCTATATTTTGAAAGAGGCATGTTAATTATATGTTTTATTTGTTTACATGTAATTATATAAAACAAACATTTTAAATTTACTGTTTTTCACATATGTGTTTAATTTTAGATACGAAGATTTATCAAAACTTTTGTGGAAATCACCCCAAAGAATATGAGAGAATACCTGTTGTATCTGGTGAAGAACTTTCAAGTAAAAGTAACCTAAAGAGTCATGAGAAGATACACACAGGGGAGAAACCATACAGTTGTGTAATATGTGGAAAACAGTTTACCAGTAACTGTTACCTAAGGATTCATCAGAAGATGCACACTGGAGAGAAGTCATACGGTTGTGAAACAAGTGGAAAACAATATAGAAAAAGTTCTGACCTAAACGTTCATCAGAGAGTGCACACTGGAGAGAAACCATACAGTTGTGTAATATGTAGCAAAGAATTTATATGTAAAAATTATCTAAGAAGTCATAAGAATATACATACTGCAGAGAAATTATACACTTGTGTTATTTGTGGAAAACATTTTGGAACAAAAAATAAACTTGAAATACATAGGAGGATACACACTAAGGACAAACCATACGGTTGTGGTGTGTGTGGCAAAGTTTTTGTAAATAAGAGTTACTTAAAGACACATGAAAATATACATACTGGAGAGAAACCATATGGTTGTGTAGTATGTGGTAAAGAATTTAAAAGTAAAAGTTACCTAAAGAGTCATGAGAAGATACACACTGGGGAGAAACCATACAGTTGTGTAGCTTGTGGTAAAGAATTTATAAGGAAAAGTAATTTAAAAGCTCATGAGAATATACACATTACAGAGAAACCATACAGTTGTGTTGTATGTGCAAAACAATTTGGAACAAACAGTAAACTTGAAATACATGAAAGGATACACACTGGTGAAAAACCATACTGTTGTAATGTATGTGGCAAAGAATTTATATGTAATAGTTACCTTAAGAGTCATGAGAAGATACATGCTAGGAGGAAACCATACAGTTGTGTAGTGTGTGGTCAAGAATTTTTATGTAAAGTTCACCTAAATAGTCATAAGAAGATGCACACTGGTGAGAAATTGTATAGTTGCATAGAATGTGGTAAAGAATTTGTAAAAAAGTGTTATCTAAAGAGACATGAGAAGATGCATAATATAGCAAAACAATTCAGTTGTGACATATGTGGAAAACAATTGGGTACAAAAAGGAAGTTAAATATACACCAAAGGATACACACTGGTGAAAAACCATACATTTGTGTAATATGTGGCAAAGAATTTTTATGTAAAGTTTACCTAAAGAATCATGAGAAGACACACAGTGGTGAGAAACCGTATAGTTGTGTAGAATGTGGAAAACAATTTCGTACAAAAAGGAACTTTAGTATACACCACAGGATACACACTGGGGAGAAACCATACAGTTGTTCAGTATGTGGCAAAGGATTTAGAAGTAATGGTTATCTAAAGAAACATGAGAGAATACATACAGGGGAGAAACCTTACAGTTGTGTAGAATGTGGCAAAAAATGTACAAGTAATAGTTATCTAAAAATCCATCAGAGAATACATACAGGGGAGAAACCTTACAGCTGTGTAGAATGTGGGAAAAAATTTACATATAGTAGTCATCTAAAGATCCATCAGAGAATACACACAGGAGAGAAACCATACAGTTGTATTGTATGTGGCAAAAACTTTGCAGCTAAATGTTACCTAACAACTCATGAGAAGATACACACTAGGGAGAAATATGACTGTGTAGAATGTGGGAGAATTTTTATAAATAAATTTTACCTGAATAATCATAAGAAAATACACAATGAGGAGAAATCATAAGTTGTACGAGTTAATGAATGTTTAAGTAATTGTTACTTAGTGACTTTTGAGAATGTACCTACATAGATCAGAATTAAAAATTAAATCGGTAAGTAATAATGTTTAATCAGTGATCAATAGTATTGATTAACTTTCCTAAAAAATCATAATTGGTATATATTAGTGGAAAAAGCCCTTATTTTTTCCTTTATATTAGTATTTCCATGTCTAGTTTATCAAGTGGTAGCCATTTGAACCACATAACTTTATACATTGAGATAGTGTTTTGCTCCAGACTGTGTAGTTAATCTAGCTATTTCTAGGAGTTTGTATTTTGTTTGTCAAGACAAAGTTTTCCCATTATGGAATGAGTTGGTGTGGATTAACTTCTGGAATGTTCTCCAAAAGTTTAGAAGAAGATTAATAGTGAGTTTATTTTATTGATTCTGTTCTAATGAGTGAATTTGTTAGTCATTTAGTTAGTTCGGCTTTGGAATATTAAGCTTGTGGTTTAAATGCATTAATAACAGATAAGCTAAATGTTGTGTCGAGTATGAGAAAGCTATCAAGCCAGGCAAATTGTATTATTGTATACACTGAAGTTAGACCTGTGAGTGAACGTTAGTTACTTTAAATGTAAAAGTTGTTACAGAAGGAATAAAATGTTTTTCTTAACAAAACTGGATTGTACTTTGCATTACTCTTTTTATCACAATAATTACACTCCTGACACTAGTATTTTTATAGTTTATTATTGTGCAGGTTCATTAGGAGTTGTCTAGAATCAACATAAAGATGATAATATGCTAATTGATTGATTGATGGGCTGATTAAATCAATTTGTATACGTACACACTTTACCAGCACATCCATATAAAGAATAAGAAAAGGTGCATGTGTATTATTTTCACGACGTATTTGGATATAATTTTATTTCTGCAGATTGACCCCCCATCCCCCCAAAAAAAAACCATAATACTTTGCAAATGAATCACTATTGTCAGCTGAACATCACCATTGTTTCTTTTTTAAAATATCTAGTATTTCGACTCTAATCTGCCGTAAATAATGTGATGGAGACATTTAACTTTTACTATACCATTCACCAATAAAGTTAATATTGTTTTTATAAATCACAATCATACGTTCTTTAAATAACATAAATATAAAAATGTTACTCAATAAATATTTCAGTCATCAGAATGTTTTGCGTTTGCCTACCCTACCATACTCGTTATGTTGCCATATAGTAAACTAACCGTATTTGGGAAGAATGATAAAAAAGTTTACAAACATTACAATTCAATAAAACCATAGTATATCAGTGAAAAAACTCAAAAAATCGTAATTTTAAACAAAGAATCAGACATCAACTAAAGACCTTTATTAAATCTTCAGTTGTGTGACTTCCTGGTTTTTTGTTGTGTGTATATCTTCCTATCTAGGCAAACTAGTTATATCTGATGATCACAAAACCTTCCCCAAGCATTGTAGATTTATTACTATGTTAAAGTTGTAATTAAGTTTTCTTTGTTACCCATTTAACTCGTCTATAAAATGTATAAGCTTACCTTATCCCATGTCATCTGACCTGTTTTCATTGAAGAAATTTTCTGGAGCTTTCAAACACATACTTTCATACTTCACAAACGAAAGGAACTAAAAATACAGAAACTATAAAAAAATCAAACCATTATATTTACTCAACTATTACTTGATAGTCTAATTCTTGGTCTGTTAATTGTATCCAATCATTAAACTTCCTTTATAGCTGTTGTTCATTAGTAAGTGATCAAACTACTTGATGTGGTACTATGACAAGATTACAACCAAGGTCTAGGGCCTTTACAAAACCTAAGGTAAGTGTTTAAAAATCAAGAAATGGATAATATATTCTCAAGGAATGATAGGCAAAAATAAGGTATTTCTTCCGGGTGGACAGAAAAATTCTAAAATAAGTCGACAAATGGGATGTTTTGTATACAGGTAATACTATCTGTAGCAACAGAGAACAAGTTTGTTTTCTGATTAACCAAGTTGTTTTTGCTTGTTTCCTGGACAATATTTGACAATAGCACTTCTATGGAAATGCTCAGCCAACTTACAACATCGTGCGATCACTAGGTCCATTCCCACATTTAGTCCTTCCTTAATAACTAAGTTCAAGGTATGGCCAAAGCATAATTGTGTATGTCTAATGCATAATTAATGCGGCAGGGATAAAGAAATGCATAACATAAACTCTTTTAACACCATAACATTACTTAGGAATGATAAAAAAAAAAACTAATAAACATGCTCTTTGTGAACATCCTCACAGCTTGAATTTAGAATTTTGCAAATTTTCTGCAACACTAACAAGCTATGAGCAATTAATTTTAATCAGTGCTTTCATTAGTGGTAATTAGTCTCATAACAAGAGAATTGGTGAAGATACTTGATTTTTAAAAATGCAAGAGTGTACATACAACAAGTGTGCTAAATTTCATGCTGATATTGGCTTTAATGGTGAAGTTATCATGCTAATAAATTCGGATCCTAGTGAAATGTGTGTTTTGAGAAAATAGCCGTTACAGTTTTTGTGCTCTTAAATTTCAGTAAACTTTTAATAAATGTGTGCACTTACCACATTTAACTGTGTTTCCACAGCATGCGATATTTGAAAAGTGGTATTTAAAAAAAAAGCTTAAATCTGGCACAACTTTCTCACATAATAACTATAAATCATAATCAACAAAATTTTAATGAAAATAAAAATATTACGACTTTTTAAGAAAAAACAAAAAAGCTCCAACAAGAGTGTATTTAGTGCAAAAGAAAATTTTAGATCTACAATTGTATATAATTCATAGAAAAGCCTCACCGCAGAATTTTTCAAAGTTTAGTAAAGAAATGTGTATTTCAAAAGCTAAATGTTTTCCTCGATACCCGGTGGGCAGAGCACAGATAACC